CCTTTGTGGGGGCGGCAAAGCCACTGTGTGACTGTGCTCCCAGGGTGTGGGAGCATGGGAACCAGTGGCAACAGAAGAGGGATGCCCAAACAGCATCTAGTTTGGAAGAAGTTTTTTCAAGTTATTAATTTAAATTTGAAAAATTAACTCTGGTTTTAAATAGTCTATTTTATCTTGGCTAGCTGTCTAGCATACGGAAAATTTAATTTTATTACCACAAAATTAATGATAGAGTCTTGATTGTTTATATTGCTTTTCTGAATAAAAGTAGTAAATACTTATCTAACTTTTCCCATATAACCTTCATACTGTAGATTTTCCTCTGAGATCAACAACAGAAAGGTATTAGGCCGGTATTGTTGTTTCAAAGTAACTGAATTTGGTATAAAAGAACACAACACTGTTTAAAGATGACAAAAACCAGTCCAAGGATATGTCTGAGTCCTTTAACAGATTAAAATGTCAAGAATAATGATGGAAATTCTGGGTGTAATAGGAGCTAATTTGAGAAACACATCCCTCAAATCTTATTGATTTGTCAAAGGTCTGTTCATTGCTAACAGTTCAACATGGATGTCACTATAATTAATTAACCACAGACTGAAGTCAACACACACAAATACAACAAAAAATTACATAGCGTATCCAATATTGCATTATGCAACTTTCCTGACATCTACTAGAGTACTTCTGAAAAGGTGTTCACACAAACGCAGGAAGGAAATTATCTTTACAAACTAAATTTATATAAACTATATTGTGTTCTGACTCTTACGATTCCTGTTTTCCCTTATCTCTAAAGCATTCAAAGCTTCTTGTTACAGCTGTTTGGTTAATTCCATAGCTCACAAGTCCTTCACTGTTTTACAGGATATTAATGCACATGCATGTGTAACTGGTAAACCCATCAGCCAGGGTGGGATCCATGGACGTATATCTGCAACTGGTCGTGGGCTCTTCCATGGAATTGAAAATTTCATCAATGAAGCATCATATATGAGTATATTAGGGATGACTCCTGGATTTGGAGATAAAACATTTGCTGTTCAGGTAATGCTTTTCCTTGAACTGCAGGGAAAAAGTAGTAAACAAACTTCCAGTAAAGCCGCTTTTAAAGAGGGCTATAGCAATAAATCCTGTTAGGGTTTTACAACTTCCAAGTTAACCTTTACTCTCAAACTTCAGAAACACTTCCCAAGCAATGTAGGTGCCCTTTATTTTGGACTGTTTTATAAAAACTGAACTTTCAATTGCACTCTACAGGCACAAAGCCAAATTTCCAGTCTTTATAAACATAGGCTGCAAAGAAAATGTGAAATACTGGTACAGGAGTTCTTTAAACTAAGGCACTGCACACTTTTCAATAAGCTGTGACACTGTTTCTGCCTACACAAAATTTGTTGCACTGTTTTGTAATAAAAAAAATTTAGGGAGAGAAGGAATTGGGGGTTATGTTCTTGTTCCACTATGGAATGAGCAGTTGGAAAAGCAGAAACCAATACCTTACCCTAAATTTGTAGGGTTGAGTGTACATTTTTGGTGTTCATAAGACTTCAGGATTTATATAGTTGAATTTTGAAGGGGTTTGATATTCAGTAATATGCATTATCACTCTTAAAATTTTCAAGAAATAACTTGCTCTGTTCAGCTTTGAACAGTATGTTAAATGGAGGATTTGAGGGATGGCTTTGTTTTGTTGTTTTTAGTACCAATGCATGCGTTGTTCAAAATAGCAGAGTAATTGTAACCTCCAAGTTGTCCTCTAGTTAACCAGTGGCCTGAAACAAACATCTCTGCCCTGCCCAGCCCCAGCAGCACACTCATCTCCCTGCACTTTGGCATTTTCGTGCCTGGCAGAGGGCTAACCAACAGGCACTTCAGCATAACTTACACTGAAAATATGGCCATAAGAATAGCTGAAGATTTTTCTAGGAAAATGAAGATACAGCATTGCAAGGAGACCTAATGCATGACTAACTGTTGTACTGAAATTTGCTTCTAATATGTAAACAAAAATCCCAAATATAATTGGAGCTGTGTTAAACAGAAATTTAATAGTCAGCTTTTTTCCAGCATTGAATCTTACTACAAACTTTTGACATGGATCATGTGACCTTTTGGTCTGCCATGTGTGTTCCTTTACTTTCAGAACATTGAATAATGGCCTGGAATTAGGTTTTCTACACCACTAAAGATGTAAAAAATTATAATGAAACACAAAATTTTCTAAACTTAAATTTATGCAATCTGTTTTGTACAGGACCACTTCAGAAATGTATTAGAAACGACATGGCTTCCTACCAGTTTCTGTGTTTTAACGTGAAGAATTAATGATGTTCTTGTTCAATGCTTTCCATTGTGGGATGGGTTTTACAGTTGTAAGCCTTCCTTACCCAAATTAAATGAGAGTATTTCTTGGCCTGCAAATGGTAGTCAAACCAGTGAATAGTCATACAAAAATCCATTAATCCCTCTAAGACAGTGCCGGTTATAAAATGGATATACATAATGTTCCTATATTGACAAGTATCATAGTTTTGACACTTTCATAGTAGCATTAACGCTTCCCTTCTGTACGTTCAATATAAAAAATTTAGCACAACTGTACATTACTGGCTACAGTGCATACTTTCTACAATGGTATTCAGACTAGAATAGAATGCATGTAGATTTCTTCCATCTTTCCTATACACATTATCTAATGCCAAGATATGCCAATAGATGAAGAACTATTTAAAGCTATTCAAAGCTATAGCAGTAATCATTCAAAGCCTTAGCAGTAATCATCATTTTCACTGAAGGGTTAACTACTTCTCCCTTTCTCTTTCCACCTTCAGGGATTCGGTAATGTGGGCTTGCATTCTATGAGATACTTGCATCGTTTTGGAGCAAAGTGCGTTGCTGTTGGAGAGTTTAATGGTTCTATCTGGAATCCTGATGGGATTGACCCAAAGGAACTAGAAGATTACAAATTGGTATGACACTTAGCTGGGCACAAATAGTTTCGGTTTTGTCAGCTTTGCAAGCACATAGGATGACTGTAGACTGGTGTTATTTTGTGATTTTTAAATCATGCTGCAATTAGTACTTACAAAATGGCTTAGGAATGTTCATTCTTCTGGCTTTCTCCTTATCACCAATATGAATGCAGGTGGTTAACACTAACTGATCTCGTCACTTTGGCTGTCTCTTCAGTTTATAACATTGTACTTTTTTTACCCTTTGACCTGACTCTCAGAAAAGTGGTAAGGGCTTGCATGTGTACTTTGGTTTCAGAATTGGAGTTCGTTATTATTTGGCCTTTCTTATGGCTAAACTAGGAAGGCTGTATCGAGGAACCAGGGCAAGGAGGTTCCTAAAGGATTCCTGATTGAGAATCACAAGTATATGGACATTTAAGACTTCAAAGGGCACTTTTGCTGCTTCTTACCTATTGGATGTTTCTGAAAAAATGAAAGCCTGTCTGGCAGTGTGACTTGAATAAGTAGTTTATAATGAAAACTGGATATGGTCTTTTTATTTCAGTTTCCAAGTGAAACAGTCTTGAGGGGACAATTCACAGGCACTGAAATACAATCTCCCACTTAGAGTTTCTAAGGGGCTTGACTGATGTGTCTTCTTTTATGTAGGGACCATTTGAATGTCATTAATCACCCCTTTCTCAAAAGAATTAAATACTCTGGAGCCCAAATGGTTATAAGTGTCTTAGGCCAGAGAGCAGTTATGCCTCAGTCATAGCAACTTGAACTGTTATCCAAGCTTTGTAGCTTGCTTTTTTTATGCCTAATCTAAGTAAAGATAGGAATTATGTTATGTGCTGTCTTTCTAGTACTGTTGCTTCTCCCTTCTTAGTTTTTTGAAAGTTAGAAGAAGGGAAGGAAGTCAAATGAGTACACACACTGAAAACACCCTGGTTTGTTTCCTTCAAACAGCAACACGGGACAATCATGGGCTTCCCTAAAGCACAGATACTTGAGGGCAGTATTCTGGAAACAGACTGTGACATTCTCATCCCTGCTGCCAGCGAGAAGCAGTTGACTAAGGCAAATGCTCACAAGGTTAAAGCAAAAGTAAGTTGGAGAGTTTAAATGCAAATGAAAAGTGGAGAAGACCTGTTTAAATACTAGTATTCAATAATTAGCATGGATGGAAACTAGCATATACCTCTGAGTTACTCTGCTGTGATTCCTTTCAGATTATTGCTGAAGGTGCCAATGGGCCTACGACTCCTGAAGCTGACAAAATCTTCTTGGAACGGAATATCATGGTTATCCCTGTAAGGTTCTATTATGACCTTTGATTTTCATTACAAGGGTAATATCTCTGTAAATTGTAGCAAGGTGTTATTTATTGAAGGTTTTTATTACTAGCAATTCATTCTCTTACAGTGGTTTTTAACAACCGATGTCTGGGAAATGGGTATCAATGTTGCTTAGGAAGTAATTACTTAAAGATTTCACTGCAACTGTAAATGACGGAAGATAACTATTACGTGAAGGCTACATAGTCAGAAGAGAGAACAATCCACAATTAGTTCTTAAATCTGTAGTTTTGCATTTTGGAGTATTAACTGACATTTGCTCAATTAAATAGTCCACTAAGCAAAGGAAGAAGGCAGAGTAAATACACTGGCCAGTTTGTAAACTTTGTGTCTCTGGGCGATGCTCTGACAGAACTGTGTATCATAGATTGTATGACGTAAATGTTGCCTACAGTGATAATTCGAAAGAATAAGACCTATCCAGGTATAAAGTGTCCTGCTCAAGTGATACTGCTAGAAAGAGTGGCTGATCTTCAGCCTTTACTCACTGAGATGGCCTAAGAATGCCCTAACTTTCTTGATTAAAAACTTGCGCCAAAATAAAAGAAAGTGGTCAGTTAAGAACATCTGAATTTCATGTGTCAAGTCCTCTTCTAAATCAATAGAAGTAATCCCTGGGCTGCAGAAGAGGGTAAGTGTTGTCGTGTAAGAATAACAACTGGATTGTCCTCTGTACTGCAGTTTTAAGTAATACTTTGTACATAATGCTTTGGCTTGCCTTTCCTTAATACAGTAGAGCTGTCTTCGTCACATGGTCACAATTCAGGACATTTACTATTTCTGTGCAGGATCTTTACCTGAACGCTGGTGGTGTAACAGTGTCCTATTTTGAGTGGCTGAAAAACTTGAACCACGTCAGCTATGGCCGCTTGACTTTTAAATATGAAAGAGATTCAAACTACCACTTGCTCAGTAAGTGTTCAGTTCTGCTTTCACTGTTTAATTGATAGATTGGACTAGCAAGCACTAACTATGGGAGAATTTAATACAAAACTATTTTCACACAAGTCTATTATTGCTGCATGCTGAAGAGTAGGGAAGATTTGATAGGTTAACTGACTTGACAAGTTAAATGCATACTTTTTCCCTTATCTTTTAATTCATAAAGTGATGCTTTCCTCAGTTTTGTGAAAATACCAAACTCAAACCACTTATGTGAAATACTTGTTACTTCTTAATACATGTCTTTCAGCTGTACACTTGGTATTTGAGAAGTATTCAAAGTTCGAGTGGGTAACACTGTCCTGCACACACAACAATAGATGATTTCTATAAAGGGCAATAATATAATTGGTACAGGCGCTGTAAAAATCTGCTTATAGCCTACAGCTCCACTTAGGGCCATTCTGTGCTTCCCAGTTTCTGGGCCAGAATACCAGTTCCATGGAAAGAGGAAGCTTAATGGAGACCAACTGCAGGATATTGCTCCGTTTTAAACAATACTCTGTAGAAAACATGAGAATCTTGGGACATAGGACTTGACAAAACACATATCTGAATGTTTTTTAATATAACCTTTTCTCATAAATGATACCTTTTCGAGGTGTTTTTAAAGTGAGTGAGGGTTATGGCAATTCTAATTTAAATCCCTTTCTTAACTTCAAGATTGTGTCATCTGAAATACTGTGTAATGTTGTTTAGGAAAGCTTACTAATTAAATTACAAAAATTAAAGTGAAATAAGTATCAATTCAAAATACCAAAGCACATCTCATGTCTTAAGGAAAAAAACCCTGAAATTCCACATTGGGCTTTTTTCTTAGCCAGTAGCATGTATGCAAAGTGCAATAGGAAATAATTGATTGCTTTAACTTCAGGAAATATTTTGTCTAATGCTATCTATCAATTTAAGAAAGTTAATCCAGATTGCTCTATCAGCTTTATGAGTTTAGCAAAGTGGGATCAGTAAATCCACAGTTGCTTGCCATGTGACTATACTATAGCGATATTGCTGCTAATATTGGAGGCATTCACCAATAAAAACAGATAAATCAACATCTTTCCCTTTTCTTAGAAAACAAAAATAAGATGACTCCCTTTGCTCCCAGCCCCTGTAGTCTGCATTTCATGCCACTGGACACTGAAAGTCCTGGGGTCGCTCCTTTGTTAGGGAGTGCATTCCTTTCCTTGTCAGTTACCTTGCCTCTGCTTGTTTTCCTTTCTAGTGTCTGTCCAGGAAAGCTTGGAAAGAAAATTTGGGAAACATGGTGGAACTATTCCAGTTGTGCCTACAGCAGAATTTCAAGATAGGATATCGGTAAGTAGTTGCTGTTGGGTTTTTTTTACTGTTACTGTATTCTGATATTATAACTGCGATCTAAATTTTACCATTGTAGCTATTACGGAGGTTTTTGCCCCAGGCAAGGCATTAGTCATAGTTAGTAGCCTGATGGCCAAACAAATAAAGCAAGCAAGTGATCTGAACTGCTTAGGAATACTGGAAGTAAGCTATTTTTTCTTTCTTTTACTTGAGCCCATGCAAAATACCTCCAATATTTTTAAAAAGCTATAGTTTTAATATAGATGTATTTTGTATTTGTAACTAGTGTTAGATTGCATGTTGCTGTTCATGTAGTGGAGTTTTTCAGAGCAACAGACTATCTTATCTCCCTTGTTTAGACAAACCTTTTAATTTTTTTTTTTTTTTTTTTACCAGGGAAGGCACAGGGGATGATTCTTTTTGCGGGCCAGTAAGGAAAACTTAAAAACCTGTGTGTTTTCCTGATGCTTTTTTTTGCTATGAAATACTTGATATTTCTACTGGCTAACCTGATAAATACATAGATTCCATAATTTCTTTGAACGCTAACTATCAAAGTCTACTGAGGTTTTGTAGTGGGAAATACTGCCTCAAACATATCAGAATTCATCTTGGAGATCTTGTTGATATAGTTTGTCTGGATTTCCAAACACCTTTCAACAAGATCCCACACCACAGACAGTTTGGTATGCTGTTTCCATAATATAGACAAGATCTGACTGAAAAATTGTAGAATGTTCTTCTAAGACTGAATTAATGAGCAAAGAAATGCCAGGTAAAATTCATTACTATCTAATGCATAGCAACACATGGTGGGGAAATTTTCATATAAAATGATGGGTTGTGAGCTCATCCATTTGCATTCAAATGGAAGATCTGGAGGTAATGACACAATACAAGTCCATAGCAATCAAAAAGCAAATCCAGTGTTAGAGATTGTTCTGAAGGGAAAAGAGGAAGACTGACTAATGATGCCACAATATAAACCCAGAATGTGTCTGCTTTCTGAGTACTACATGCAGGTTAGGTCTCTGTATCTTAAAACATTGTAAATGTAGAGAAAGTTCAGAGAAAGATCACAAGAATAATCAAAGATACAGAAGCTTCTCATACATGGAACAATGAACTAACCTCTTACTGGCCTGAAACAGTCCTGGGGGGGAGACGGTAATCTATAGGATGAGTGGTGTGAAAATGGATGCAAAGGATAGATTGCTCACTGGAAGGAAGCGTGAAGGAGAACAAGGTGCTGTCAAACAAAACCAGCAGAGTGAGGAGCAGAAGGAAGAACAGGGATGGTTCCTAGCACAGCAGACAGTTAAGATGTGGAATATCCTGCCAAGGAATGTATGGAAGCTAGAAGGGTTGGTCTGTTTGTTTTTTAACACAAGTTCAGGAGTAGATGGGACAAATGATTAGGGGAAACAATCCAGCGAGTTGTGAAAAACATCAAAACATGCTTCCTCAGGAAGAAATTGGGGAAAATGCATGTAAACTTGAGCCACTGTCAGATGATAGAAATGGACTTTAGCCTGATCCAGTGTGATGCTAGCATTTTCATAAATGTTAGGCTGAATGAATAGCATGGTAGACAGGTTCTGCAGCTTAAAGTGATTGCTGCGGTCTCTTAAACACAAGCCATAGAAACTGGCCTAGTAATTCCTACATCCAGCCCAAATATTTGGAAAAGCACGCATTTAGTGAAGCCAGGTCTCAAATTATTAGTAAGTTATAACAGTCAGGATGATGGAACATTGAAGCTGATAGCCTAAATTAGAATGACTGAGTATCTTCAATTATTTATTGTTCTGTGGATTTAAATTTTAATGGGAACACAGTTATTATGGAGTTGCTCAGGGCTAATAGTGTTGAGGATATATGAACTGGGCAACCATGCCCTTCCTAAGACCTGACAGTCTTCAAAACAGTTGGAAGTAGTTTCTATAGGTTATTAACTTTTGGAAGCTTTTTTGTTTAAGTGTGTGTTTTGAAGGCTGAAAGCAGTTGTTGCAACATCAATAAAAAAAATGTTAACATCATGCATCTAGAAGCTAGGCATATAAAAGACTCCAGTGCTTACGTCCGAGGTTTTAGAATTGAATTGACCATAATTAGCTCTTCAAGTAACACAGAAAAGGTGATTTAGTTTCTTACACCAGTCATTAGAAGAAAATGAGTGAGCAAGCTTCAGTAATTAAGGGAATCTAACATGATTGTCCCTAATATATGCCTCCTACCTTTTTGTGTTTTGAATTAAACCCTGATTTTATTTCTTCTTGTTGCAGGGTGCGTCTGAGAAAGACATTGTCCACTCTGGGTTGGCTTATACAATGGAGCGTTCTGCCCGGGTAAATATTGCAATAGTAAATGTACTTATAGGAAAAAGAACTTATGTGGCTTTGCGACAGTTTTTGAATGTGTGGTACAGAATTCCTTTGCAATTAAAGGAGTAGATACGCAGTTCATGATAATGGAAGTCACTGGGAGTATGAGGTATCTCTGCTCTGTGCAGGGATGGCCAACTTTGAGTATAGTAAACATTAGAAAGTAATACATGAAATCAGGAAGTATTTTCTAGTAGAAGCTGTAGTAATTAGAAAATTTTTAGTTGTCCTCTTGTACCTGACTAATCTGGGACACATACCTAAGAGTCCTTTACTTTGCCATCAGCAGTTTTAGATTAACCCCTTTATGCGGTATTTTTAATTAGCGGGGAAAGGCTGCTTGAGACATTGTGTCTCTCCCTGTATCTGAGGTACATGAGGATCCAAGACCTGGAAAGGGGCAATATAGTAATCTGGGAAAGATTTTCTTCCCTTTAAGATCTCAGTTGTAAGGGGAATGAAGAAATTTTAGACTTGATCCTCAAAGGATCTGAGCTCTGATACCAACCTAGCAGCTCTTACACTTCTAACTTAGATCCTCTAAGCAAAATCTAGTGTAGCTCCTATGGAGAAACTTGCAGAAGTCACATGTAACCTTTTCTGTTTCAGCAAATCATGCGTACTGCCATGAAGTACAACCTGGGTCTGGACCTGAGAACAGCTGCCTATGTCAATGCAATTGAGAAAGTCTTCAAAGTGTACAATGAGGCTGGCCTGACCTTTACATAAATAGGCCATTACTGCTCCTTATTGTATCCCATCCCTCTTGCCGTTAATGTACCCTCTTCTTGAAAAAGCTTATCACAAGTTTACATGTAACCACAAAATTTTCTTTTCTTCTGACATTATAGTGGATTATAGTCTTGATTAGTTTCAGTCCAAACTAGTCTTTTTTACAATAAAAATCCATGGATTAGGAATGTACACAGGTATGTATCTGAAGATAACGATTCATCTGTGCTTGCGGGGGCCATTCTGGGTATTTTGCCTACAAAACTAAATGGTACATTTTATGTATGAAAGAGTGGTCTTGCCACCTGAGCCACTTCTCAGACTTCAGATCAGATACTGTACTAGATGAGCACTTAGCTCATTATTACTTCATGCACTTTCATTTAATGATGTAATTTTGGCTTTGGCACTTTCAGTAAGGCCTTGTATGATCAATGCTGTTGCATTGTCAAAGGAAGAATGGGCCTCCAGCAGGGATTAAATTTGATAGGAGTCTAATTTTTATTTCTAGTAAAGCTTCAGGCCTGATTCTCTTTAGGCAATGCTTTTCCTTTAACTGTGCTGCTGTTAATAGGACTGCCTTTCATTGCTTGTTCAAGCTAGCTTGACTATCACCATGAAGTATGTAGAGGTGACAGACTAATATTTTTATAAGCTCAAACTATCAAGCAACTCTAGTTATGTTTTTAATCAAGTATCTGTATAACTATTCTGACTATAGGTTGTTTCCTTTTTTTAAAAAAAAGGGATAGTCTGAATTTGGTAAGTAGTCATACTTAGGTCTTTTGGAATTCTTTGTCTTTTCCTTTCAGAGGCATTCTGAAAATTAGATACTGCCTCAGTGAACAACTAAAGTGAAACTGAACCCAGAAATCATTGGCCAAACTACAGAGGAGCTAGAATGCTGCTATAAACTTAATCCACTGTCTTAACACACAGAGCTTTTTTGGGGGTTTTTTTTTTTGGTCATCAGGAGGTCTTGAAAGTTTTGCGCGTATTAGAGTACAACAAAATGGACCTCAACACAATATTGGATCAAGCACAGTTTTTAAAGTGTAAGGCTTTTGTCCAGCGGAGTCCCCTTGAAGTGCCAGGTGTTATTTATGTAATGACTATAAATGTTTTTTTTAAAAGACAACTAGTCCTTCCAAGAAATTCATGCTTTTTTTTCTAACTACTTTGTAACGGCATGACATAACCTGGAGAGAAGAGCAGTTATTAAAAAAAGTTGACCTTTCCAAACCTACTATAGTGGTGTATTACTGTTTTCTATTTCATTCGATAGCTTTCTGTAGTTACAATCAGTCTGTGAGTCTTCATAGCACACTTGTTTATTCATTACACGCCTACTGGTAAGACACTGTCTCCGAGTTATCCTAAGGGGCTCGCTAGTACAGATCTCTGTCTCCTGAACTTGCCTGTCAGCAAGACTTCTGAAGTTGGGTATATCTGGTAAATCATTTCAGGTCTTTGCTGTGTCCTCTCAGATTTGTGTGAAGAACTATTCTAGTAGTTAGCATGGAGCAATAAACCTGTGTGATGCATTTAATTAGTGGCTCAATCATATATGCTGATATCTACAGTTATAAAATACTACAGATCACCTAAGTGCATATATACTGGCATTTATTTTTTAAAAAAATGAGAACCCTTTGAGCATGAAAGAACTACTGTGATCAAGGTGTAGATCTCTAAACATGAGATCTGTATCTTGGATCATATTTTTAAGTATAGTTTTTATGTAAACATTTATTAGATAGTAAAATGAAACTAAGATTGTAACAGTTCAACTGACAAATTGTAATCTACTTCCACCAAAACTTAGAGGCTAAACACTCACAAATAAATAGTTGTATTATTGAAAAGAGAAAGAATCTTAAAAGCTGAGTTGCATTATCTGGCAGCAAAGTTGTTGAAAGCCAAGTGCAGTAGCAAGAAGAGACATGGCTAATTTACTGTTGTTCTCCTTCTCTCCAGCTAGTAAAGCACCTCTAGTCTGACTATGCAAACTTGAAAAATGGGACCCTTTCAGTGTTGGAGCATACGGAAAGCTGGCATAGATAATAGCTATGCTATAGAAGCTGGGATAACTTTTACCTCCTACCCACTCTGAAGGAAAAAAAAAAAAAAGCCAAAAGCTGCACAATGCCTGAATTCCCCAATTCATTAGAATCTTATATTCCAGTACACCCACTCATTGATACTTCTTTTCCCAGGATGTCTTGAAAGAAAGCAGACCTACCACCAGGTATGACTTTACCAAACCCAGAGACGAGCCCTTAAGGTTGACTACATTTCGCCTCAGCCAACTTGACTGCAATAGTTACTGACCTCTTGTTAACACAGTCAGCATCAGAGACCTGCAAAGCATGAGCCTGAGCATATCCAAGGGCTGATATAAGGAGAACTTGGGGTACTTTGATCAAAGACCTAAGATTCTTGAGGAGACTGATGCTTGGAGTCTGACTTAAGATTACAGCACACCAGCTGGTTTCCCCTTCTGTTGTAGCTAAACACAAGAACCACACTGTACCAGTGAATCCAGACTTCCAAGTATTATCTGCCAGCTAACAACGTTGTCACCGCTTGTATTCACTTACACACCACTAGACATTCACAAAGAAACTTGCCAGGATGGTTGGCAGGGAGCCAGTCAATGCCTGAAGTTAGATTTAAGCGCAGATTTGAACCTGCTCTGAACCACACCTACCATCCAGAGCAAAACACACCCTTACCATAGTGGGTGTCCGTAATCTCTCATGCAGTATTAAGAGCTGATTACGTAGACAGTTTGTGTTGAGTAGTGACTCAGTAAGTACTCTGAAGCTGCAAGTGAATTTCATAAGGATGACAACTACAATGGTTGGGGTTACATGCCTCTTGCAAACTACTAAATGCAAAAATATCTCTGTTACACAGAAAAGCAAGTAGAACAATCATTTTTCATCCCAGCAAAGAACTCAGACCTACGTCTGTTTTCACTGATGGCAACTGTCACCATCAGGACGAAGTGTTGGAGCAATGGCAATTCTTGCTGTGATTTCAAGATGCCACGTAAGTGACCTCTAAATTACTCTGTTACTAATTGGCGAGGCCATAATGTCAGATTCCTTACTCATTGCAGTAGCAAGTAATTTATTCCCTTCTCATTAGCATGAGGACGTGCACGAGAATGAGTTCATATGCATGCAGGGTTTTTTGGTTTGGTTTTTTTTACAGCCCAGACTCAGTCAGTCCTCATTCTTCCAGCTCCTGCTTGATTACTGTCCATCTGTCTGCTTGACAAGAGCCCTGCAAGTGTGGTAGATGACTCCGTTGCCACACTGCGTGCTGCAGTGCACATCAACGCTTTGCTGTGCAGAGCTGGAGTACCAATGATCCAGCGCCGGCAGCGTTAAGCAGTTCAGTGGTGAGCCAGGCTCTCTGCTGGCAGTAATGCCTTGTTCTGCTGTTAGTGTTAGTTTGAGTATCACAGTGCTCTCTTACAGGGGTTATATATACGTTTGAGTCTCCAAAAACACAGTATCTATGGCTGTTTTACAGATGAGAAGTACGAGCACAGTCACAGAAGCGCGCAGGTGCTTACCTTCTCCTCGTGGCTGTTTAGGAGCCCAGCTTGCATGACATGCACTCACGTGGTCACAACTTAGGCTCAGTGACAAAATGGGAGAGGCCAAATCTCCAGTCCTTGGCTTTACCTTGTGCCCGCTCCGAGCCATCCCTTAGCTCATAAAAAAAGACGGCATTTGTCAGCGTTACCAGCACAGCACAGCTTTAAGCTGTCTGCTCTGTGAAGTAATCCAGTCTTTCCACACCAGGGACTGTAAATGGTTTTTTAATGTGTAACCAAAGGGTTCCCAAGGAATACATGCAAGACATTTGGAGCATAAGTATTTTCTTTATTTAAGAGTACATGTAGTAGAAACTTGTTTACAAAAATGTCAGTGGTGTTACATTTTTATCTTCATTGTCCAAAGCTTTTACCCCATGAAGTTGCTTGATCTGCTACATTCTTTACAGCTTTTTCACCGGTTTCAGCAACTTTGTAGACTTCATCAAGAGCTTTTAAAACAGAAAAACAAAGGTAACTGTAGCATCACTGCAATACCTTTCCCTTTCCCACCCAGTGTGGGAGAAGGGGCAGGGCAGAGTTGGGGGACTGATCTGGGGTTTCACTGATGTGACATTATTGAAATAAAGAGAACCATTACCGTACCTTTCTGACCAACATCCTTAGCCTGTTCCACCGCTTGCTGCACAGTCTGGCCCACTGTGTTAGCTGGAATTAGGAAAAAAACAAGTGTAAATCAAGCAGTCTTTATCCTTCCCCTAAACTTAGTAATCACATTTTAGAACAGTTCGCTAAATGTTTCAAGGCTAGAAGATGAAAAACTATTCCACGAGGATGGGCACATTGGTCTAGTGGGAAAGAGATGCTATTAGGAAGCTGGCTATAGTTCCCCACATTGTCATGTGTCTTGCTATGGATGAGGAAGCTATAATCTGTGTCACCTACAGTGTCAGGAAACAAATCCTAGTAGAGGATCAGGTGCAATGAAACCTTCCTTTTACTGAGCCTGGCTAGGATCTGCAGAGAGCAGGCTTGGGCAGTTTGGTTGGCAAAGATTCTGCCACCAACTGCATAAAGCTTGATGCTCGCTGTCTGAAGCGGCATGCTGTAAGAGCAGCACATCAAAATTTAGTGAGTGGTCTAATACTTTCTCTTGTAGCTAGAGAAAATTTTATTCTGTAAGAGACCAGACTAGTTTTAAAGGCATGGAAATGTTCATTGGAGGAGACTTATTGAGACACGAAGAGCAAAAGAAGGTATTGTCTTGGAGGAACTGCAGCCTAGAAAATAGCGACAAATGTTTGGATGATTGTCCTCCAAGAGCTATGATCAGGGGAGTCTTGCTCACGAGAGTCAAATAAAAGTTTGGGGCAAATGGCCTTCAGTTGAACCTGTATTTGTTTTATTTCCCCTGGCTCTAAATACTACCTTTTTAAAAAAAAACATTGATGTGTTCTGCACAACAGACACTGAAGGAGAGGCTGAGTGAGCAAGCCAGATTCCTCATGGACATTGCATAAGGGAGACGTGCTGAAGTGAGGAAGGGCATTTAAGTGGACTGGGAGTATCTAAAACTTCAAAGGTCTCCAGGCTTGGACTGAACAGCTCTTCAACAGTAGTTGTTTCATTAAGTGTCTTGTAAAAACCAGTGGCCTGTTTCACCTTAGGTTTGTAGGACACTTTCTATTGCTTAAAAGACGCACTAATTATCATGCATCATCTTTTGCTGCAGTTGCCTAACATGAATGATGCACACTGCTCATAAGGTACAGTTCAGGAAAATGCTTCCCATAGCAATCTTAGGTTACGGCTGCTTTTGTGGCTCTTTTTAGAACCATGGGATAGGTGCTAATTTTAGATACTTGCAAAGAAAGCCCAGTTTTGCCACTCTGCACTTAGCGATGGCTCACAGGACTGTGCCTTTGGGGCACGTGCAGGCGCAGCAGACATAGTTCAGATGAGGTAATTAATAGTTGTACAGCCACCAGTTGGACAATCTTGTTCTAGTTAAAACTAGCATAAAATCCCCCTTTGTTTTCATTTAAATGGGGATTTGGAGAGTACCTCTATTTATAATGCTCCCAGGAGCGGGTGCAGTACTGACACTGATGCAAGACGAGTTCAGCATTACGTGCTGTGTGTTTACTGCCCGTCATCGAGGTACGTGCCGATGGCACAGAAGTAAGTGGCCAAAGTCAGGCCAGTGCCTGGGAGCTCCCACTGTTGTTCCAGGATCCAGCTCCAGCTGGAAGGGCTGTGCTGTGGCACAGGACTTGCTGGGAAGATACATACAGGCAAAGAGCTTCAGACCACTGGCATCTGAAGAACTGGTTCAGCTTCAAGTGCTTGGGATGCAAGGGGAAAGACTGCTGCTACTATTTAAAAACTTTGCTCCTAGTTGACTCCTAGACACTTAGTTCAATCAGCTGAACATTGAGATTACTACTCAGCTCCTCCAAGGTGACAAATACCGCTTCTGAAACATCCACATCAGTCTTCTAGCATAGACAGCCATAGGTAATGTTTCCACAATATTAAAAAAAACATTCGGAACATCAAAAAACCTCCAGAAATGTGCATTTCTAGGGCTGCTGTACAGCAAAAGCAAAAAGAAGAACTCTTCATTTGAAAACAAAAATTGATGGTTACCCTCCAATTGCCCACATCCTAGTG